CAAATTCGTTATCAGCTATTATTTTACCTGGTTTGCCTATTTTCGTAAAATGTTCCTCCAATTGTTCTACTATAGTGATATGATTTCTATCATTTAATGGGTATACTGCTGTGAACTTTGAAAATTTATCTATGGTCGTTAGAAAATGTGTATTTTTTATTACATATGTATCCAAGTGTATTATCTGATTTTTATCTGATGGGGTTTCCGTTTTACTGAATTTATTTTTAATAGGATTTCTATCATATTTTATTTCTTTGCAAAAACCGCATTGATTTATAACCATTTGCACCAACTCTAACAATTTTGGAAAGTAAATCTTGTTTTTCAATTGGTTATATGTTTCCTGAATTCCTGAGTGCATACTTTCTCTTACATGATAAAACGAAATTTGTCTTACTGCTTCTGTTTCATGTTCAATATCTTGAGCTCTGAGTGTGCATTTTATGAATTCTAATTGTTTGTTGTCTGAAAACATTTCTATTAGTTTTTCTTGTACTATGTTATACTCTTGATACGATAATTCTGAATAGATTCCGACTTTTCCTTTGTGTATATATCTCCTGAAAATATCTCCCATTGTTGGAAAGTCGTGTTTTGCTATAAATATTATTGATTTTCCATGTATTGTTTTATACTCGTCTGTTTTACTGTCTGTAATAATTATTTGTGTTATATATTTGTTAACTATTTCCTCTTTTATATAAAAATGATTGTGTAAATTTTCTTCGGCTGAGTGTACTGTTGATGTTGAGAGATTATCTTCAATGTTTGCTATCATGTTTATGTCTGAAATATTATCTTTGTATTCATTGTCTCTTTCGTTTTCGGTTTTGTTCGTGAGGTCGCTGTCTTCCAGTCTGCTAAGAAAATCTGCCACTCTGTTCTCTTTTCCTTTCAAGTAATCTATCTCAAATTGATATTCTCCTAATTTTAATAACCATCTCTGGTGTCTGGGTGAAATATCTTTACCTTTATGTTTTGAGTGTAAGAATTTTATTGGCTGGTGGTCAGTTAATATTTTGAATTTATTCCCGTAAAGGTATGGTCTGAAATAATTGACGCTCCATAGTATTGCTAGGAATTCTTTGTCTGTTGCTGAGTAATTTTTTTCATGATTGTTTAGCGTTCTTGATGCAAAGCAGATTGGATGACCGTCTTGAGATAGGACAGATCCAATTGCATAATTTGATGCATCTGTAGTTAATGTAAATTTTTTTTCAAAATTGGGATATCTTAAAATTGGGTGAGAACTGATTAAATGTTTTAATTTTTCAACTGCTTCGACATAGGTTGGGTCCTTTAGATTTATTTTAACATTTTTTTTCAAATACTTGGTTATTGGCTGTGCTACTTTAGCATAATCTTTTATAAATTTTCTGTAATAACCTGTTATACCTAAGAAGCTTTTTATTTGCTTCTCTGTTCGTGGTAACAGTAATTTTTCTATGATTGCGATCTTATTTGGATTTGGTTTAATGCCCTCTTTTGTAAGGATATGTCCTAGAAACTCAGTTTCCTTTTTCATGAAGTTACACTTGTCAATCTGTATTTTTAAATTTTTCTCTTCTAATATTTGGAATATTTCGTTAATAGCTTAAATATGTTCTTTTAATGAGGTGCTGAAAATAAGTATATCGTCTAGATACACGACGCATTTTTTATTAATGTGATCCCTAAGTATTTCATTCATAAGTCTTTGGAATGTGGCAGGGGCATTTTTCAACCCAAATGGCATTCTTATAAACTCATATAGTCCATGTGGCGTTACGAATGCTGTTTTTTTTCTGTCTGATTCTCGGACTAAGATCTGATGGTAGCCTTTGGCTAAATCTATTGTAGTGAAGTATTGAGCTCTTCCTAGTTTATCCAAAATAGAATTAATGTTCGGAATCGGAAATTTGTCGTCTATGGTTATTTCATTTAACTTCCTGTAGTCTATTACTATCCTAAACTTTTTCTTTCCTGAGTTGTCGATCTTCTTCGGGATTACTATCAGTGGGCTAGAGTATCTTGAATTACTCTTTCTAATTATACCCTGTTCTTCCATTTCTTTTATTTGTTTCCTAACTTCTTCCTCGTGTTGTGGTGGGTATCTATAAAGTTTTGAGTTTAACTGTTCCTCTGTATTGGTCCGTATTTCGTGTTCAATTTCTGTCGTACTAGTTAGTTGGTCTCCCTCCTTAAAAAAAAGTTTGCTAAATCGTTGTACAATGACTTTAATTTCTCTGACTTCTTCTTCATTTAAGTGGTCGAGTTTCAAATTCTCTAAGTTTTTACTGCTACTTTCTAATACGGAAACTTCTTCGTATTGATATGGATTGTTTATAATTACGTTTTCTTTTTGATTTAAAGTTAAAACCTTCCTCTCAATGTTTATAAATGCATTCAAAAAATTTAGGAGGTCTATCCCTATGATAAAATTGTATTTTCTTCCCTTAAGCGGGGCTAATTTCCATCGTACTCTTGCGTTATTTGGTAAGTTAAATTCTTTTGGGGCTGTGGTATGAATTTCGTACGCTATTACGTCTTTGCTGTTAATTGTAGTGTATGGTATGGGCGTATTTAGTCTCACTTTTCTGTAACCGTTAATCTGGTCGCTAACTAAACTCAAGGTGGCTCCTGTGTCTATTAAGGCCACGTATTTCTGTTTGTCTATGTTAAGTTCTATTAGTGGTAACCCATCCGAGGCGGCTTCGTAAAAAAAACCGTATTATTGAATTCTGCCTGTGGATAGTTTTCCATTTGATTATTATCGTGTTTACTGTTCGAGTTATGGTCACTGTTGTAGTTGTCATTTTCGTATCTGCTTTGGTCGGTATTGTTTTGGTGTTGGTTGGCTTCTATGTTATCTACCTCCATAGGTACCACATTCGCTGGCCTATTTTGCCTAGACTGATGTGATCCTGCTTGTTGATTCCACTGATTATTTCGATATCGTCTACTTTGTCCGGAGTTATTGCCTCTAAAATTCTGAGGGGTATTGTTCTGTCTAACTTGTCCTGAATTGTTGCTCTGATAATTTTGATGTACATTTTGCATTGTATTGTTTTGCTGATTATATTGTTGATAGGTATTCTTATTTTGCTGTGCATTTTGCATTGTATTGTTTTGCTGACTATATTGTTGATTGGTATTCTGGTTGTTGTTCCTGTAATTGTTTTGATTAGGTCTTCCTTTCCTATACTGATACCTAATGCAACTATTCTCATATCTGCGTTGCATCATTATCTTTAATATAGTGCTTAAATCTCTGACTTCGTAGATCTTGTCTAGTAAAGTGCCTTGTGTCATTTCTTTGGCTGTGTTAACTAATAAACTTTCGACATTACTTAAATCTATAAAATTATCATTCATATGATACACAATTAATTCATCATTTTTATACCCGTTACTCGTAGAGTAAAAGGGTATACTAGATTCGTCGGAAAGTATGTAACAGGCAGAAGGAAGCGTTTCCGACCCCATAAAGTATATATATTCTTGATCAGGATCACTAGCCGAGTCGATCTAGCCATGTCCGTCTGTCCGTCTGTCCGTCTGTCCGTCTGTCCGTCTGACCGTCTGTCCGTCTGTCCGTCTGTCTGTCCGGATGAACGCTGAGATCTCGGAAACTATGAGAGTTAGGCTATTGAGATTTGGCGTACAGATTCCTGAGCTTCTTACGCAGCGCAAGTTTGTTTCAGTAGACTGCCACGCCCACTCTAACGCCCACAAACCGCCCAAAACTGAAACTCCTACAGTTTTGATGCTAGATAGAAAATTTTAACTGAAATGTATTGTTCTCATCAATACCTATCGATTGACCTAAAAAAAAGTTTGCCACGCCCACTTAAACGCCCACAAACCGCGAAAACCTGTGACGCCCACAATTTGGATGCTAGATGAAAAATTTGAGCTGAAATGTATTGGTGTCGTCAATACCTATCGATTGATCCAAAAATAAATTTGCCACGCCCACTCTAACGCCCATAACGCTTAAATCTGTCTACCGCCGGTAGGTGGCGCATTTTAATTTCGCTTTGCTGCTTGCATATCTCCATTTCCCTTTGAGTAACGGGTATCTGATAGTCGAGGTACTCGACTATAGCGTTCTTCCTTGTTATATTTTATATTTTGAATTTCTACTGCAAGCTCGCTCACCGAATTCACTCTCAGGTCACATATCCTCTTGTAGATTTGGTGCGGCTCCGTGTCTGGTCTGTACCTTAACTTCAAGGTGGCTTTTATCAGGTCCCAGTTGTCCGGCTCCGGGATATTTATTACTGCATCCTTTGCTTGACCCTGAATTGTCCTATAGAATATTGTCCTTGTGGCTTCTCTCTTGAGTTGTGGGTCCTCTACCGTCTGTAACAGGTACTCCACGCTACTGAAGAAGGAGTTGATGGAGATTTCCCCGGTTCTCGTAAAGGTTGCCAAACGATTGATGTTTTTGAACAACCGCTCTTGTTGGGCTGGGTTGTTTCCATTTCCTTGGAGCTGTACATACGCTTGTTGCAGTTGCTCCAGCTGTCTTTCCCTTATGGCCAATTATTCCAAAAGATCCGCTTGGGGCATCTGGCCGTTATCGTGAGCCATCCTGCTGTTGTCGTATGAAGCGATCCTTCGCTGCCTTCTTCTATCCAGGTTGAGTTGATTTCCTTCTTAGCGCTGTCTAAGTCGATTTTAGTTCGATCTTTACAGGCATTAATCCACTGATTTTTAGTTGGATTTAATGCTGTTGCGCTGCTTGGTCTGGTTTTGCTTTGATCAATGCACTTTTCTATGCACTGCACCACGTTCACTTAGCGGACTGATTTTTAGTTCGCGTCTGTTCTCTGACTTTTTGTATTTTTTATTTATCACAAAAAATTTTTGTTATATTTTTTTTTCTTCGCGTTAAGTTCGATTTGAATAATCACTGGACCCTCTTTAATTAAAAAGGATCCTACCGACTGCGCCAATTTTGTTTAAGGAGTCGCGAAGTTTTAAAAAAAATAAATTATTTGTAAGTAAAAACACGTCAAGCGGGTTTGGTGGGCAAAAATCAACTGAATATTCTTTATTGATAATGTTTTAAAGAAAACTTAATTTAGGTTTACAGAAGTGCTTATTACGAATTATTCTGGTCGACATGTGTAAGATCGTTGGCCTCTAGTTAGCCTGAATTTAATAACGATCGATGAACTATGCATTTCCTGTTTACTGTGTTATATTGCTTATTTGGATTCTTAGAACTTATTTTGGTTGGCATGTGCCAGATCGTTAACCTGTGCATTTCCTGTTTGCTGTATTACTTTAATATATTGTTTATTTAGCATTTAATGAGTTAAGCAATTCTTGTACTTTATTATTAAGAGGTGGTAAAGAAGAAATTGGGTTTTGGACATATGTGGGAAGTGAAGTGGGGTTATACGTAACTCGCGTTCCGCGTCCGGTTGGGGCTGGCGGGCACGAGAGTGTTCGAGGAGCGGCAATAAAATTTGAATAAAACGAAAAACAGAGTTTGAAAAACCGGCATAGAACGGGAAACGCGGCTGAAACAGGGGCCAGAAGTAAGGGGCATACATGGCAGCTCCAGCATCCTGAAATCAATATTGGATTAATACCTGCAGCGAAGCAAATGAGAAGGCCTCTCCGCACCAGCTTTCGAGTGTTGCCAGCGTAAAGCCAGGCTCAGCCGGCTGAGGACGATTGAAGGGCGAGAGAGAGAGACGAGAGGCGAGAGAGGTCGTGTGGAGAGAGAAAGGATGAAATAGAAAGGAGTGAGGAAATGCGAAAACTTACCTAGAAAGTTGCAAAATCACCATGAGCCAGGGAAGGGGGCGCCTCGATAGGCGATCGATTGGCACTAGATGAAAGTGCGATCGATGGGTACACATCAAATGGTAATATCGGCCAAAGGTGGAAATATCGCAACGAGCAGGTGGCGACGCCGCACCGTCGATATCGATATCGCACATCGATCACACCCGAATGGTGTGACCAGGCGGAGGAAGCAAATAAAAGGAGTAGAACGCAGCGATGAGCAGCGAGGTGGGGATCGATAGCACACGAGTATCGATGTCCCAGTGGAGTCAGGAAAGATATCGGCGCGGGAGATTCAAGTTGCTACGAGGAGGATGACCAGCGCTGTAGAAATTCAACGGAGTTAAGAGCGTCGTGGGAGCATCGAGGGAGCAACGAGGGAGCGCCGCGGGAATCACAAGGACTCGAAGGCTAGGATAAACAAGAAAACGCCGGAGAGTAGGAACGAGTTTAAAATGTTTCCCGAAGTAAGGGGGGAATGTGAGGAGTTGAATAACTCCCCACAAATAGAAACAGCAGCAGATGGCCGGCCGCTTGCCAGATACGCGGCGAATTCGCGTAGTAACGGCGCGGCGAGGAGAGCGAGAGAGTTTGGAGACCAACGAAGGAGAGCGAAAGAGTTTGGAGACCAATGAAGGAGAGCGAGAGAGTTTGGAGACCAAGGATGGAGATCGAGAGAGAGTGGAGACTTTGCGGGCAAGGCAAGAGTGCCGTGTGCAATAGCGGGTAACGGGACTCCACCGGACTTTGGACTCTCCCGTGAACTTTGGACCGGGAGAGGAAGTGCCACATCTCGGCGGTGGAGCGGCACACAGGCGTGCCACAAGCATCACTGGAATCAGCGGGATGGCAGCAGTGGGCGGAGCATCGATTGGAAGCGGTACGGGAACGACAAGTGGGTCATCCAGGAGGCACGGACTTTGGACCCAGAGTGGAGAGATCCAGCGGGCCGTGCGCAAAAGGGAAATAACGGTTCCCGGAGGCCCTATATAAGGCCGCAGAGCGCTGGCAGCTGGATCAGTCGATCACAAGGAGTCAAACCGTCAAGATCACTCAGATACCAAAGTGAACAATCAAACAACCAGATAATCTATAAGGGAGCAGCAGCAAGTCGAGTCGCCAGAGAAGCAGCGCCGTGGGAGCCTACAAGGAGCGAGATTGCTACGTCGAGACGTTCGGGATTGGGATACCAGGAATCTCCGAATTGAGACGCAGGTAGCTGAGATCCAGAGGGCATCACACGGCTAGGTCAAGGCGGTCGATTAACCCTGTCCACAAAGTCCTGGCGTTACGCCTGGAAAGAGTATAACAAGCCAGAAGGGAGAGCGGTCGATCGGTAAGGTCTCGAGTGGAATTGTCCAGGAGAGCCCTACGGATTCGACTTGCGAGGTCCCGGAGCAGCGTGCCCGAACCACGAGTATAACAAGCCAGAAGGGAGAGCGGTCGATCGGTACGGTCTCGAGTGGAATTATCCAGGAGAGCCCTACGGATTCGACTTGCGAGGTCCCGGAGCGGCGTGCCCGAACCCCGAGTACCAAAAGCCACACGGAAACGTCCCGGACAAAAAGCAAAAGGGTGAGGCTAGGGTGGAACGTTCGTTTACACTAGGCGTGGAAGCGAAGTATGGCGCGAGGCAGCTTCCTGGCGTTCCGCCTTGACTGTCCGCGCGGGCTGAGCAGAAACCCCAGTGGGACCATCCGGGACAGAGCAAGGGACAGGTGGCGGTGTGTCGAAAGGAGCGATCCTGGAGAGCGCAGCTTCTGTTCACCCTAGTCTGAGAACGGTGACGCTTCCCTAAGCCCGTACGGCCGATACCCCTCGCGATTCCGAGTCGTTACCAGCAGTCACCAAGTCACGCGTGAGAAGTGAACAGCGAGCGAGCGTCTTCAGGGAGCTGCGAGGATCTTCAGGGAGCGGCGAGGATCTTCAGGGAGCTGCGAGTATCTTCAAGGAGCTACAGGACTGGAGCACCGAGTCATCAAGGCGAGAGGTCGTCGAGTCATACAGGACCGTCGGAAGCACCGAAGGTCACAAGCAACGAGTCAAGGCCAACCAAGCGACTAAGACACTTGTAATAATATACCCGCAATAAAACCCAATACGAACCCGTGAATTCTGTGCTTTCTCACTGGGCTACTGGGCGGTCACGTTAATATAAATTTGGTGGGACGAACACACAATATACTGAGCTAGCCGCACGAATCTCGTAGCGAGCAGACCATAAAAAACAGTTCGTTACAGTATTGTCGGCTGATTCCCAGGTTGACGACTTCCAAAATGACCGCCCGCAGGGAGTCCCTGAGACCTAATTGATGTTTCTGACCCCCCCGATAGAGATGTCTTCCTTTCGACCTGCCTCATCAACTCAGCAAAGCCTTCTTTGATATTTTTGTCAATCTTGTCGCCGATAAACCGTTCCATTTCAGCTCGAAACTGGTTCTGGGATTCTACCACAAAGTTCCTCAAATCGCTACCATGGCCCTGGTTGTCGACTCCTTCGAGGCTATACTGTTCTTGGATCGGATCTAGCTGGATGTGTGAAAAAGTCGGTATTGGTGTGGAGTTGTCGCCAAGCTCTAATCTTTTTGGGTTTCCCACCCGGTTTAGAGTGTGAAACGGCATTGGTTGCAGTGGGGGACAAGTGAATGATCCTGCGTTCCCTACAGGGGTCTTAATGTTCCCGCAATCTTCCATATTATTTCCATTCTTACCCATTTTAATTTGATGATTTATTTCTTCAAAAATTATTAATTCGTAATTAATTCTTTCAGGAAACAGAAGGGGAAAGAACTACTATAAACTGACCCATCCCCAACGGTGAACTAATCTGCGGCGCTATTTCTCTAATGGACTGTCCTCGACCTTGGAACATGATAACAACATTTAACGTTTAACACAAAACAATGACAGAGACGACTCTTTCCAACTTCGACTCAGTCGAAGTTTGGGAGCCAAGGGTGTCATTTTATTTAGTAATCAAAAATCCATGTTTCTTCACTCACCATCATCCCATCGACCTCTCGATACATCTTAACCGCCGTTCGTCAGTCAAGGACACCGAGGAATAATCCAGAAGCTTCTGAGACTCCTGTTCTTAAGAAACTCAGGACTCCGGATTTCGGTTGTATTGGCGACTGCCTGAAGAAAAAGGATCTTTTTACGTTCCCCCGACTGTTGCTCCTGTATCTCGATCGCAAATCTTCCAGTTCGCTTGGACCAGCTGATGTCGTCGAGAAAGGAACACAGTACAGAACGTTTTCTTTCTTTTCTTACTTTCCAAATCCAAACTTTATTTCTCGTCTTTCCCCCAGATCTTTCTGCTATTCGCCTACCGGTCAGACGAGGACTTCATAAAGATCTATGGGAAGAGGAAAATTTTGTTGGAGACTGGTGCGTTGCCATTTATATTTGAAAGTTGGGCGCCAATATTGTTATGTCCCAAAATAGGACTACGTGTGTCCGCAAGTGGGCAGCGCCGGCTAGCTCTAGAGCACTTGGGGTGTGGGTACTCCAACCCTGCCCACACACGCAACAATAAACAAACAGATGTTTGTACTTCACAACACTTCACGCTGCAACAGCTGTTTTATGGCTGGACCAAAACATTGACGAAATATGCGAAACTATAAAACTAACACAACACGTGATTATCACAAAACTAATTCCCCGACTTGTTCCTTTCTAGGTCACAGGACGCCATCAGATATATTGTGGGCTTTTGGGGGCAAACCGTAGCAGCCGTAGATGTCTCCGACTGCCCCTTGGACCGGTCACCGTAAGATACCTTGGAACCGTTTACATGTTCCCTCCCCTCTGAAAGATATGTCTACTCCATATTCATTCTAGTACCATTTATTCACTTAAATTATTTACAGGGCTTCAGCTTCCCGTAAGGAAACCCATCAACCACCGCCCGCTGGGTGCAACAGTCACACCAAGGGATTTACGTAGACGGGTTGACTGGTCTGGTTTCTTTATTTCGGTCCCTACCTAAAAGAGCTCTCTTAAGCGGATCCCAGACCCGAGGATAACACACGAACCTATTCTACGCGGTCGCTGGAGAGGATTCCCCGTGGGATTAACAAGTGCGATAAATTGCAAAAACTAACAGATACAAATGTGAAAAAACACTCGCCGTGAATTATTCACATCCGGCAATAAACAGTTTAAAATTTGTGATATAATAAATAAATAATAGTGCAATATGGGTAGTGTCTAGGTGGAATATATATATAGGTTAATTTTTAAGTCTTATATAAGATCACCTCCCCCAACAAATTTTATATGAAAAGAATATAAATAATTAAATAAACAAATAACTAAATAAATTAGGGGACAACACAACATAAAGATAAAAGGGTTATTTCGCGTTTAAGCCGCCGATCTTTTCCAGGTCCCGTTGGTGACGTAATTCCACCACCGAATTCTGGGGAGGATTATGCCCCCTCCTGGAGTGAATTCTCCACGCGCGGGGATGACTTCTCGCAGGCACGACGGGTTCCTCCAGGTAGCTAGCGGCTGGAGGCGCCGGGCTCGCCGATGACGTAAACTCCGGCCGAGAACCGGGGTTGCTCCAAGAAAGAACTTGGCCAGGCCCTAATTAATGGAGCCTGGCCACTACCTTTCTTGTCTCTTCTCGCTGGCCTAAAATGGAATTCCTATTGGACTTTTCCCCCACTAACCGGAACGCACTCACCGTAGGGTCTTGACCAGTCCGGCTTCAGAGACCGTTCTCCGGCGTCGGCGACCGGCGAAATCTTTGCACGGGCGGGCTCAC